ATGCAAGTTTGAACCCTGGTCAAGGAACTAAGATGCTACATGCCACGGGGCAGCGGGGCCTGTAACTGCTGAGCCCCTAACCCTGCAACTAGAGAAGTCCATATGCCGCAATGAAGCCCCAGCAGTGTCAAAATAATAAATAAATTATAAAATAAAAAATGGCCACAGGACTTGAATAGACATTAAAAAAAAAGTCAGACGGCACAGTGCTGCGTCATCGGATCCCAGGGTCCAATGTGTTCTGCTTTTCTTCTTCTAAAAGCTAAGATTATTGCTACAAGCCTAGGTCGTGGCCAAGCACACGCTTCATAGTTTCTCTAGCTTCCTTGTTTCTTCAATACATCACTCAGTCCGCTCAAACACTGGGGTTCAAAGACAGGAGCACCTCTGACATTCCGATGAGAAAGCAAGTTAGCCAAGACGTCGCTGCGTCCAGGCTCTCTCGCCCCACGCTTTGTAAAGAACGACTGTAACAGCGAGCTCCTTCGCAGCGCTGCGCATGCGCCTCAGGGGGCCCTTGACTCGCTCCATCACGGGCTTCGCGCTGTACAGACAACGTGGGCTCCACCTAAGAGGCGGCGGCACTGCTGCTGCAGCTGTGCCCGCTGGGTCTGCCGCAAGAGGAGAGGATACACCGTGTCCGCCACGGCTGCGGCGCCGGCCAGGAGAGAAGACAGCGTCCGCAGTTCCTGTGGCTCCCGGCGTTTTCTTCCAGCTTCCCCGCCTGCCCCTGGTCCATCACGGGTTCAACGAACAGTGCGCACCGCCTGAAGAGGATCGGCAACACAGATGATCACAGTTTTCAGCTCCCACTTCTGATTGTGCTTCTGAAACAATCCGAAGTCTGAGACGATCTTGGAATTAATATGTATGAGTCCACCAGAAGAAGATTTTGGTGTGAAATCCGAAAAATGCTTAGTCCAGCCATGCCCTGAGGTCTGAACACTACGTTTTTAAATGAAGACAATAGCAAACAACGTGTAATTATTTTCACACAACGTGGCATTGCTATGGGAACATTCACTTGGGCATGTACAATGATTCTGCTTTAAATATTCTTAAAAAAAAAACAAACAAAAAAAACATCGTCAGCAATTGTGGGAACTAGCGCCAGTTTCTAATTTGCAATCTGTTGATCCAAACATGTTTCTGCAAAATCTGCCAGTAACAAAAAGGTAAAATGTCTGTCAAGCGTCATGAGACTCCATGACCTAATTCCAAGTTTGATTTCTACGTGTCCTTTTTGCTATAACTGGTCAGTAAGCGTGCAGATGCAAATCCAGAATTTAAGGCCAAGCCTTCTTCTTGGCTTCATCTTACAGGCCAATACAGCAGCCAAAGCGAATGACGAAGAGAAAAGAAAACAAGATCCACCAGTGCTTCCCTTCTGCTGCCTTTTTCTCCTGCTTTGCTCCAGATCCGTATGCGCGCTAAACTCATCTATATTGAGCGGCTCTGGGTTAAAAGATGGTAGAAACAGGAAAACAAAACAGAAAATGGATTCCTTTTGGCCTTCACTGATTACTAACAATTCTGTCTCTTCTGCATGGCTGTCAAACAAATTCCATATTAACTTGCTCTGCGGGCAGTGGCCCAACCATCTTGTCATTACAATAAATTAAAACAATGTCCTCTGTTATCTGACGTTGCCACTTCTGTCTTTACCATATGGACATCTTCAAAGAGTCATCTCTCTTGTCCAGGTTCAGTGTTGACAGGATATCCTCAGTTACAGGCAGCAGAACATTCCATGAAAAATAGTTTAAATGGTTGCAACTTAGTGTTCCACATCAGAAGTCTCAGGGTTGGGTGGTTCAAAGACTGGCTAACTCAGCAGCTCAGAGTCAAGCCTGTGCTGAAATTCATTTGGCTTTCCTTCCACTGCAGCAGGATGGCAGCAGTAACCGCCAGTATTGCACCCATCTCAGGGAAGAAGAGAGTCCAGGCTCCCAACCCAAGCTTTGTTTCATTTTGGGGGAAAAAAAAAATTGGTTTCCCAGCAGCCCTCTCCTGCCGCAGAGGCTGGAGTTGGGCTACCTGGCCCGTACTGAGCCATCACTAACAAGGGGAACTGAATTACCATGGCTGTCTTAGGCCAGTTAGGATTCAGCCCTGGACTAGCAGGAGCCCACGGCCCCAGGACACTCAGGGACGAAGTGAGGTTCTGCCAGCGGCAACGAAGCAGGGAGGCAGAATGGCTGCGGAGTGTCTGCTGCACACCCTGGGCACTCTCTGTAGCCAGGAGATGGCGAGCTCTGATGCTTAGCTCTAAGGCAGAATGCGGGCAAATTAAGGAAGAAGACTGTTGAACATCCCTTGTGCTAGCTGAAGGGGAAATGCTCTAAAGTCTGTCATGTGTAGCTTCATAGGTTCTCCCTTCAAACCTGCATTTTCTCACTGAGGCCCCCAACCATCTGCTCCCGAGGGAGGGACCTGGCTTCCTATCCCCCTGGTGCGTTGCGCCTCACTCTCCTCATCCCCCAGCTGATGCTGGGTGAATACAGGAAGTCCACTGGAATTAATTCACTTAATGCTCTTGAAAGGAAAATAACCCTGGAGTCCAAAAATCCAAAGGCGGTGGAAGAAAACTGACTGAACAAAGTTAGCTTGAATTCCATGTATTAGAGGCTGGAGGAAAGTTGAACCATGAGGGTCTCATCATGTATAGAATTCTATGGAAGGTGGCATCAAACATGGAAGCAGTTTCTCTTCTATAAACTTTTTTAAAAGAGAGATTTAAGTTCACAAAACATTTGAACAGAAAGTACAGTTTCCACATAAGCCCTACCCCTGCGCATGGACTGTATATTGTTAAGTTACCAGTCACTTTGCGAATATGGATAATGAAAATGTGATTTACATTTCCAGGTTTAAAACAATAAAATGTGTTGGCTTATTTTCATTCAGAACATACCTCAAACCACTGTCAATTTCTGTATTAAGAGAATTGGAATTAATGTTATTGATACTTAAATGATTGTTAATAATCATTATCTGCCTCCAGGAAGAGTAACAGAAATTCTTCTTCCCAAACAAGAATTATTTTACTTCCCAAAAGTTCAACTGAGATTTACAGTTTTTTTTTCGTAGAATTGCTTGAATGACAAACTGATTTTTACACTTAAACTACTTGCATATAAAAATATATTTAAATATTCCATTTATATATATATATATATATGTGCTGCTGATGCTGCTTAATCACTTCAGTCGTGTCTGACTCTTTGCGACCCTGTGAATTGCAGCCCGCCAGGCTCCTCTGTCTATGGGATTCTCTAGGCAAGAATACTCGAATGGGTTGCTAGTTTCTTTTCGAGGGAATCTTCCCGACTCAGGGATTGAACCTGAGTCTTCTGCATTGCTGGCAGATTTTTTTATGTCTAAGCCACAGGGAAGCCCTTGTATATATGTACCCACAGTAAAACATGAAGCATGTTAGTTTTCATTTTCTTTGTGATGTGGGCCATTTTTAAAGTCTCTGTTGAATCTGTTACAGTATTGCTTATGTTTTATGTTTCAGTTTGTTGACCTCAAAGCATGCGGAGTCTTGGTTCCCCCACCAGGGGTGGACCCACACTTCCTACATCGGAAGGGGAAGTCTTAACCACTGGACCACCAGGGAAGTCCCAGTTTACATTTTTTAAACCGAGCTGGTTCTGCTGTCGCTTCCTAGAGGCATGCGTGAGCCAGACCATGTCTCCTCCCAGGCTGTCCGCTCCCCCAGAGGTGGCCGTCCGGGCACCTGGGAGGTCACAACACAAGTGCCAGAGACTCACAGGCTCTCTGTGGATGTGTTTTCAAGCTTGTGATAAGCTTCAGGGAGCTGTTTTCAATGACAGATGACGGAGAATCTGCTCCTACCAAACGGCGGAAGCATGGATGGAAATCACAGTCTTCTGGGAAGTGCTTTGTACCCACAGACGCCGCGCATTGTCAAGGTTTAAAAACCTGACTCTGTTGTTGAATAAACATGGGGAGATAAGGGACTTCCTTCCCGAACAGCCCATCTTGATGATGAAAATGTTTTCTTCTCTGAGGGACCAGGTTCTTTAGAGAGGAATTCAGAGAGAGCCTCGTCCCTGCACCCGCTGTTCCCATTCCAGCAGTGACGTCTGCCCCCCCAGATGGGAGCGGGCGCCTTCCCTCGGGCAGGGCGGCCGGCAGCCACGCTGGGTCCTACACCCTGGGGAGGGGAGTGCAGGGTCCTCCGTGGCACGTGCTCGGATGGGGGTGAGCCGCCCACCCAGGCACCCCCCGGCACTTCCTGCTACCAGACGGAGCTGGGCCCTTCCACTGTCAATACAGTCTCTCCACTCTAGCCAGAGGGCAGCCAGCTTCCTCTGCAAGGGCCACGTATTCAATAGCAAGTTAGGCTTCCGGGGACACAGAGGGTCTCTCACCCTCAATGCTCGCCTCGCCCTAGTTCCCTTGTCTCCTCCTGTCTCCCTCCTCCTGCTCTTTTCCTTCCCTCCTCCGCCACCCCTTCTCCTCCTATTTATGACCCTTCGAGGAGGTAGAAGCCGTCCTTATTTTGTGGGTTCTACTGAAACAGACCACTGGCTGGGTTGACGGACTTCTGTCTGCAGTCTGCCGGGCCAGGCTGACCATCCAAAGCTATCTTTACAATCCTATTTTTAGGACTATAATCACTTAGTGGCTCTTCAATCTGATCTTTCCAACATTCCCTGGACTTCATTGTGCAGATGAAAGTGGATCTGATATTCCAATCAAAGTCCGACCAAGGCAGAAATCCCACTGCTGACAACTTCCAGAAGCCTCGTGGGGACAAGGATACTTCCCTGAGCCTGTTCTGTACACACCTTGGAGTCTCTGAGTCTTTATAGATCTGGCTTCTAACATCACCCGCCATTAGATACTCTTCAATCACCCCAGAAAATGATGTGATCTAAACACACTGCTGCTTGAGCTGCGTCTGAGGTGAACAGTTGTGCAACAGTGTAGCCACACTCACTGGTCACGCGGCGTCTGCCTCAGCTTTCATGCTACCGCAGCAGAGGTGAGTAGTTGCATTGGAGGCCACTGGCCCACAAAACCGAAAATATCTACCGCTGGCCCTTTGCAGAGGAACTTTCCTGGTCCCTGATCTAAAGCACGATCAAGCTCACTCATCTATCTACTTTGTTACCTACCTGCCCCGATGCATTCTTGCACTCATTCCTTCCTTCAAAATCCTTATTGACACATGTACTCTATTGATATGCGTATTGATGACACTGTGACGACATATACACACTATGATGCATGTTGATACTATGCATAAAGTAGGTAACTAATGGCAACCTACTGTATGGCTCAGGGAGCCCTGCTCAGTGCGCCGTAGGGACCTGAATGGGAAGGAAACCCAAGGAAGAGGGGATGGATGTACGTGTGTGTACAGCTGATTCACACTGCTCTTCAGTAGAAGCTGACACAGCATTGTAAAACAACTCTACGCCAATAAAAAACAATTTTAAAAATTCTTACTGACAATCTTCTGCACATATGGCACTCTGTTGATATGGAGGGGGAGATATGTTATAGCACAAGGACTCTCCTCTTTAAGAATGAGGTCGCTGGTCTTCCAATCCTGTATAATTATATCCAGTGCTTCCCTTTTAAGCTTAGATGCCTTCTCTCTCTCACTCCCTCTCTCTCTCTCACAGACACACACACACATATACACACTCACTCATACACCTGCTTGTTATAAACCCCAGGACAAAAATCAAAGTCAGCAGTGAGCATGATCAGCCTTTGTTATATCTTGAAATCGATTAAAAATTGGTTCTGGTGTTTCAACCCCATGCCCACAACCCATCAGTATTCCCTCACCTCCCTGTTTCTATCATTATCTAAAAGGTTATTATTTGTGTTTCTCAAATCTACTTGTTTCACACGGCACAACCCACTAGAACGTTCCATTCCAAGGGTCAGGAGTTTGGTCTTACATCACTGCACCCTCATCACCTGGAGAATGCCTGGGCCAGTCAGTGCTTAACCAATATTAGTTAAACACATTTTCAAGACATCATCACATCTTCTCCAACCTCTGTTGTGATTCAAGTCTGCTTGGAGAAAGAATCTGTGTCTGCTCCCAGAATAACCTGCAGACCAGAGTGGTTCTGGAGAGATTTGGCCACAATGTTGGAGCAACTATGCTATTTTCCTCTTGTATATTTGTGTGTATAGAAAGAAGAATTAAACGTCAGAGTGTTTTAACCGTCCATGTGTTTGGAGATGAGTGTCACATCATCTACACAGAAAAATATCAATGATGTGCTAACCTTCTGCCCTTGGAATGCAGGAACCCCTGAAGATACAGGTAATGAAACCATCACTTCTCAGGTTTCTGTAACATCACAGTCGTAATGGTGAAAGGAAACAGTGTGTCCTAATCCCACCCTTGGGAGGGCAAACCGGAAAATACAAAGATGGAGGATGGAATCAGTGTTGTCACACACAAGAATAGACTCTCTACTGTTAGGGAAGTTCCATCTTGATTTCAAGGAGGCAGGAATAACGCGATCAAGCCTGATGAGCAGTCAGACCTTCACGTGCCATCAGCTGCTCTTAAACCAAGTGGTGCAAATACATCACTTGGGGGGTGGCGGGGAGGGGCCACAGCACATGGTGTTCAGCTGAGTTTGCATGGCGTGAAATTATAAGCTGAAACAATAAAGGAAGGAGGTCTTCATATTTGATAATTAGATATTCATACTGGGAGGGAACAATTTTTCTTTTCTTCTTTTTGCTTTCTTTTCCTGAACTAAGGCTCACCCTGGTGGCTCAGCAGCAAAGGATCTGTCTGCAATGCTGGAGACCCAAGTTCCATCTCTGGATGGGTCAGATCCCCTGGAGAAGGTCATGGCAACCCACTCCAGCATTCTTGCTTGAAGAATCCCATGGAAAGGGGAGCCTGGCAGGCTAAAATACACAGGCTTGCAAAGAGTCAGACATGACTGAGTAACACTTTCACTTTCAGGACAATACACGTGCTTTCCAACCGGTCAAGCAATGACCCCAGTTTTCAAGAATAGCCAAACCCCTACGGTGGTCTTGTGAAAAAGCACAGGAGAGGTTATGAAAAGGTGAGGGTCAAGGTGAAGCAACTGAGACCCCTCCCAGGAGCCCAGAACTGACCCCGAGTCAGGAAGATAAAGGGGCTGATGTGGCATCGTCAAGGGCATAGGGTCTCCATCTTGGAAACATTTGGTCAAGGCTTGTGAGTGGATAATAAACGATCAGTCACTGGTTCTGTGCCAAGAGCTCGGAGACCATCGCCCAGAGGACACCAGAACCAGCCTCCCCTCCCCCACAAGCCACACCTTCTGTTCCTGGACAGTGAAACCAGGACCCCAGAGGCCTGTAGTCCAAACTCCAGGACTGGGCTTGATGCACAAGCCCTCGTGTCTACACAGGTAAAGCAGAAAACTCTCAGGGAGCAAAACGTGAAAATATCCGAACCCATCAAAACAGGAAAAATCTCCCCAAGGAGGAGAAAGGAACCAGGTTGTTACACTCTGGTAACGTGGGAGCAGACATGAATTACACAAGCAAAAACTGCCCCTATGCTAATTACAAAGCCACAGATTATCTGCTTTTCTTATATTGCTGGGAAAGAAGCTTTTTGCAAAAGTGTGACACATACAGATATGGACTTTTTAATCTCATGAAAGATGGTCAACCTCAGTAACCATGAGGGAAAGGCAAGTTAAAATCACCACGACGTTACTCCATGTAAAAATAGATAGCCAGTGGGAGTTTGTTCTATGACGCAAGGAACCCAAAGCTGGTGCTCTGTGCTAACCTAGAGGGGTGGGATGGGGCAGGAGGTGGAAGGGAGGTTTAAGAGGGAGGGGGCATATGTTCACCTATGGCTGACTCATGTTGATGTATGGCAGAAGCCATCACAATATTGTAAAGTAATTATCTTCCAATTAAAAATAAAATAAAACAAACAAACAAAAAACCCCAAAACTACCACAAGCCATCATTACATACCTATCAGATGGGGAGATTTCAGAAACTGGTGACCACATCAAATGCTTGGTGCAGAGAAAGAATGCAAACAAACTAAATCATGTGTTATATTGCTGGTGGGAATTAGAAATGGCCCCGCCAGTCTAGATGATAGTTGGACAGTTTCTTTCAAAGCTAAATATTCATTAGGTTGTTCATCAACAGAGGCATAGATAAAGAAGATGTGGTCCATATACATATGGGAATATTACTCAGCCATAAAAAGAACGAAATCATGCCCTTTGCAGAGGCCCGGATCGACCCAGAGACTGTCGTACGGAGAAGTGAGTCAGAAAGAAAAGTCAAACTTCACATAGTGACGCATATATGTGGGACTTAGAAACCAGTGCAGACGAAACTGTTTGCAAACAGAAACAGACACAGACATAGAGAACAAACATGCAGACACTAAGAGGGGAGGAAGGTGGGGGGAAAATTGGGAGATTGGGATTGATACACACACTCTACTATGTATATAATAGTCCAGCCCGTCCATCCTAAGGAGATCAGTCCTGGGTGTTCATTGGAAGGACTGAGGCTGAAGCTGAAGCTCCAATACTTTGGCCACCTCATGCAAAGAGCTGACTCATTGGAAAAGACCCAGAAGCTGGGAAAGATTGAGGGCAGGAGGAGAAGGGGACAACAGAGGATGAGATGGCTGGATGGCATCACCAACTCAATGGACATGAGTTTGGGTGAACTCCGGGAGTTGGTGATGGACAGGGAGGCCTGGCGTGCTGCAGTCCACGGGGTTGCAGAGAGTCGGACACGACTGAGCGACTGAACTGAACTGAACTGATGTGTATAATAAATGACGAATGAGAATGTAGAGTATAGCGCAGGAGAAAGAGAGCACCATCTGTTTGTTAGGATATTGAGTTAACCTTAAAAGTGCATTCTGATATACACTGAAGAAGAAGTGAAGTGAAGTGAAGTCGCTCAGTCGTGTTCGACTCTGCGACCCTGTGGACTGTAGCCTACCGGGCTCCTCCGTCCATGGGATTCTGCGATATACATTAGGTGCAGGCAAATGCTGTTTGATTCCACTTACACGAGGCACCTAGAATAGTCAAATTCACAGAGTCAGAAAGCACACTGGTAGATGTCAGGGGCTGGGGGGCAGGAATGGGGGCCCTAGTGTTTAACGGGGATAGAGTTTCAATCTAGGAAAGTGAAAACTTCGGGAGATGGATGATGGTGAGAGTTACTTGACGATGTGAACGTGCTTAGTACCACTGAACTGGGCACTTAAATATGGTTAAAACTTCATGTTTTATTTATGTGACTTTTACCACAGTTTAAAAAAAAACGGTAAAACCACAAAACCCAAAGTGTTCATTTACCACATGACCCAGCAATGGTATTCCTAAATATTTATTCCCTCAAAACAAAAATGTTCACGCAAAAACCCCTGTGCTCAAATGTCCTGTAAAAACTCTGGGAGGAACCCAGATGTCCTCCAGTGGGTGAAACAAACTGTGGTCCACCCCCAGCACGAACACTGCTCAGCCACAGACATGCGTGGAAGAGTCCCCAGAAGTTGTGCTGAGTGAAAAGAGCCAATTTCAGGAGACTGTGCCGGGGAAGATTGCATTTACATAAGACTCTAGAAACAGCAGCACTGTGCGGATGGAGAACAGATGAGCAGGTGTCAGAGGACAGTGGGTGAGAAGGGGGGAGCCGTCCGCTGCCAAAGGGGGCGATCCCTGTGACAGCGCTGCTGGGTACGGATCGTGACGGTGCCGAACAGCTCTGCACGGGCGATAAAGGTGCACGGAACTAAACTAAAGCTGAATGAGATGGATTAACTCACTATATTGTCAGCTTCCTATTGTGATACTGTTCCCCAGTTATGCATGTTGCTACCATTGGAGTAAGGGGTACAGGGGGGCTCCCTGTATTACTGTTACTAGTTCTAACTTATTTATGTTTAATTGGAGGACAAGTGCTTTACAATACTGTGTTGGTTTCTGCCGTACGTCAACATGAATCAGCCTC